AAGAGAGCAGCCAAGTCTCACCTGTGCTGTTCCTGGGATGCTTGGATCTACTTTTACCAAACTTCTTAAACAGTTTTGACCCTGTTCTGCCAGGATCCAAGTGCCGAGAGCTCACGCCCTGCCTTTGTCACTGTCACTGCATCCAGGACTTGCAATCCAGCGTGCTGTAGCTGAGGCTGCCACGGTGGCAGTGGGTCAGCAGAGCCGCTCCCCTGTAAGGCAGCATCCCTAGGCCAGTGGGAGATTGTGCTTGGCAAAGGGAGTTGGATATGGACCAGGGGAACACCTGCCCACCTCCCCTTTACAGAGCTGTCCGTGGAGCACAGACTTAGGAAACCTGAACCTCCAAACACCTCAGCCGAGACCAACATGACATCCCAGCTTCACTATCTCTGCCAAGAGGTGGCACCGAAAACCCTCAGGATAGAGAGGTTTGGGAACCTCAGAGCAAAGACTGGTGGTGGAATGCCAGGAGCACTCTAAAGAAATCTTTGTATATTAAACAGCAAGTGCACAATCACACCTGCCACCACAGGTTTTATAAATGCAGTAACTGCAAAGTCTGTATCCTCTAGCACATAATACCTGGGCATTAGGAGAGAAACCCAAGAGCTCTCTTGGCCCTTCTAATGCTTGCACATCTCCCCAGCCGTCCCGGACACCAGCAGGCTTAGCTTGGACTTCCTTATCTCTCAAACAGAAACCGCCAGCAGACCGGGTTGTCGGCCGCAAAACTGCTACAGGAAATGGCGGCCTGCAGCTGGCTCACTCGGCAGCTTGGGCCGGCGCTAGGGTGCGAGAGCAGCCCCGGCCGAGCCACCCCAGTCACCTGGGGATGTGCTGGGGCAGGGGCACAAATAACTTTTAAAAATATTTATTCCCCCCCCCCGCCCCAAAACCAGAAAAACAATCAGATGGCCTTTTAAGAGATCTGTGTTGAGTGTTTGATTAAAAGAATAGTAGTTTAAAAAAAAAAAAAAAAGTATCTGAAGCGTTTTTAATGGAGCTTAACAGCGGTTAGTTAGATGTGGAGGTGACAAAGAATTTGGGGAGAAAAGGGAGTGGCAAACGCTTGCCAAGAAAGCAAAGCCCTTTGCTTCATGCTACTTCTCATGGCATAACTGCTGTCAGGCCGGGAATTACATACAGGGTTTCTCTCTTCCCCACCTGCATGTGAAAAGTCACACCCACATAACTTTCCCCCCCTCAGCCCGTGCTGTCCCCTCTCCCAGAACCCAAGCATTCCTCCTGCGGAGCAGCTCTCAGCTGCCTTTGGGCAGATCTGCCACCCCTGGAAGAATCCCACCACAAAGACGACACCAGAAGGGCCTCTGGGCCCAAACAGCAGCGGGTGAGAGCCAGCACAGGCTCCCCCGAGCCACAGGTGGGGGGAAACATCCCAGACCAGCAAAAAAACACCATGCAATACCCTTTTCCCAGGTGCACAGAGATCCCATACTCCTCTGTCAAGAGGAGCAGCTTCACAGACTTGGTGGAAGAGCTTGCACCCCACTGCGTCAGCACGCTTGGTTTTGTGATGCAAAGACTGCGGGAGGAACCCGAGAAACCAAAAGCTTTACCTTACCCAGCTGCTGCGGAAAGCAAAACACCCTGGAAAGACAGTTCATCTTCTGAAAGTGAGACTCAGAAATAGCCACAGTCAGAAGGCGCTCAGTTTTATTTCTGTATAGAGCAAAGGCGAAGCTCGCTCTCTGCAAGGCTTTGTAGCCAGATGGGAAGTACTGCCTGCACCCTGCACAGCCCCTCAAGCCAGCCCACGCCAAGCCTGTCTGTGCTTTTTTCCCCCTCCCCCCAGCTTTCCTTCTTACCTTATCTGTAAGTGGCAAAAGCCACCCAACTCAGTAGTCGATAGCTTGAAATGCAACACCTTCAGGGCATCACCAACACCTGGTCTTTGTGGTCAAAGCCAGGTCAAATCCTGAAACTAGCCCTGGCTGGCATTTACACCAGAGTTGTTCCCTTTCTGCAAAGGGGCACGTTTCCTGCCAGTGCTTTTTATTGCAGTGGCAACAGGAACAACTAGTTTGAGGTGAAGAAGGGTCTAACTTTCACTTGATCCTGGTATTAGAAAAGAGCCTGACCCCCACTACTGCAACACTTCTCCTAGCATCCGTAACACCCCAGTACCCAGGCAGAGAGAAAGCATTGATCCCCGATCAAGCCAAGTGGGGGGAAGGACTGAGACCGACCTGAAATAAATGCAGAAAAACCTGAAAAGGCTGTTCTGGCACTGCAAGCAGGGAAGAGTGGCTCAGGAACACAGTGGTTAGTGGAGAAACTTCAGAGCACAGAGACAAGGGCCTGGCTCCTCTCCTCCTTCCCAGGATTTGTGTTGGCGGGAAGGCAGCAGGAACAGGCAGCTCTTTCCCATTTCAGGCAGCGGCGTCCACTGCAGATGCATGCTCCTCTCTGCCAATGGCCTCTTGCAGGAAGCTGGTCCCGTGTCCAAATCGCCTCCCCAGCCCCATGGGTGTTTAAATAAGACGACTGCAAGATACACAGCCAACATTTTGTTCCAACTTTATTTTAACAATCAGATAAAAACAGAACCATAGTTTTAAAAGAGTCATTACATGGCAATTATAAAGTGCATTTTCCACTTGAATGTTGTGTACAAAAATATCTTTTAAAAACAAACATGCAAAACACCCCACAAGGCACTTCCAGGCATAGAACGAGGAGAGCAACCCCTCACTTCTATGTTCACATTGGCAACAGAAAAAGGGAAAAGGGGAAAGGCCACAAGTAGTATTTTTAAACCATTATTGGTCAATTAGTCAGTTCCCAGCCTAGCTTTTACTTATGGCATTGCTCTTGTAGCTTATCTTCCACATTCCTCCCTAAGCACACCCCATTCACAGCCTGAAAACAAACAGGCCCGTAAGGAGATACCACCATCCACAGCACCCCAGACATACATGCCTTGTTTCAGCCCACAAACAGCTCTCCATAGGCATGACAGCATGCCAGGAGAACATGACTTTTCTACAGTCAGTGTCTTACAGCATTTACACCATATACTAAAAAAAAAAAAGCCAAAAAAACAAAAATCAGAACAGTGTCACTCAGACTTGCTTTAAGTTTAAAACCAGGTTCAAGCCAGGCTAGGCAACAGTCCCTTCAAGAGAGACCAGATGCAGGTTATAAGGGCTGACTTGGGAAGCTGCTTGAACAGAGGAACCAAGCCTGATGAGCTCTGGGCCAGCAAGTAGATTTACCACCTGGACTAAGTGATCAAGCACAGTGCTGACATGCATTGATGTTGGGTCTTGAAAAAGCAGCAACTGAAGGCTAGCTATTCTTCCTGCAAGCTCTTCTTGTCCCTTTCAGCATCCAGCAGTGATCATAGTATCCCTTCTAGGTTAGGGTAAAACAGCTTGTAAGTATTTTACACAGTAGTCTCCAGAATTAAAAGCTAGGTTTAAAAAGTTAAGTAGTCTAGCCCATTGCTTCTCTCCAGCCCATCCATAGGCTATTATAGGCACCCAAAATATTATATAAAGCTTATGCACTAGAAAAAGTAAGATTCCCTTGACCTCCGTTTCTACAAACTCTTCAGTACTCTCCCTTCGAGCTGAGAGATTAAGTTATTCTGCTTGACTAGCATGCAAGCAGCTTTGTGAGGCTGTTTGGCACTGCACAAGCTGGCCACCTCACCTCAGCGCAGGCCCAGGAGACAAGCCACCTCTCTGAAGATAGGGATGGCTCACATCAATGATGTTTCACATCCAGGGGTGGTGTCAGGATAACCCCACCTCTCACGCTCCTCACAGCTAGTTCTTTGCACAGGTGGGGCAAGCCGCTTCTTATGGACACAGAGATGCAAAGTTTGGGCATTTACAGGCTGAAACAGCAGCTACAGCTACAACAGCGAGGGAAGCCCAGCTGCCAAGCAGTCCATGGCACGGAGTAACAAACCACTAGGAGATCTTTATTTAAAAGCAACGTCATTCCCAAAGCCTGTTTATCCCAAAGCATTGCTGGGACTGCATGTACCACCCCTTTCTCAGTCAAGGCACTTCCACCACAGTAGGTACACAACAGTCACCTTCTTGTAACACAAGACGGCAAAGGGTAGCTGTGTGGCCCGCTTGCATTTAGCTCCTGCAACACCTGAGCACAGCCTCCTGCACAGGACTCAGGGCCCCAGCTGGACAAAGCCCTGTTTTACAGTCCACAGGAGGAAGAACTGCATTTTCAGGGCCCAGCATGGCCAACAGCTGACTTCAGATGTCCATCAAGGGGAAAAAAGCATCATTGATCACTTGTGATTAAAGAAACAGGAAAGTTTTGAAGAAGGCAGTCAAGGCTTTCAACCCATAGCTGCGTTACAAGCGCCACACAGCTACAGTTAATCTCTATTTTTGGTAACACCAAGGGTATAATAAGAGTTTTTCAAGATCAGCTGATAGAACTGGTGACTAAGCATATCAGATCCTCTCCCACGGGCACATATGTCTCCTAATACGGCAGGCTGCAGGGCCACATTTCCTGTCATCACAGTTGCATTTTCATTTCCAAAACACCCATTCTGCCTCCAGTAGGAAGGACCTTGCACTACAAGGACGTGTGAAAGGAGAGGACTCCATTTCCCTCAAGCCAACCACTCCATTTCCCGACAGGCACAGGCCAGCTCTGCAAGGAAAACCCGGCAGCTGAAGTACAGCCCACTAAAAATTAATACCAGAACATATTTTGAAAAAGCCTTTTAACACTGGGCAAGCAATACAAACCAGCCACCACTACATAGCTTGGACAGACTATATAAGCACTGTAGTGTTTCCCTGGAGACTAGCAGCTTTATAGAAGAGAAAGGAGTAGCAGCACTGAAGAGACACACGAGCAACAGCTCCTGGTCCTTTGAGCATCCGGAGAGCCAGGTATCTGAGCCGAGGCAGGGAAGGCAGCCCTTTACACCAGAGATGCTTCCCTGACTATAAGCCCACTGCCAGCAGAGCACATCTGGTTTTGCTGGGAGGCTTATGCAGAGCTACACGGAGCTATACTTCTTCCACCTTTCCGTACGCCTCATGTTCAGACTAGCTCCCAGGCCTGCGGACACGCCAGCAACAGTTAGTCAATCAGGACTTTGTCCTTGGGTCAATAGTAAGGCCCTAGCTTCTCGTAGCCCGAATAGCTGGGCCACTCGGGAAAGAGGCCGTAGGAGCACCGAGGGCTCCCGAACTGGTCAAAGGCACTGCCGAAGTCAGGGCTCCGTGGGGGGTGGATGGCTTCCTGGGCAGACTTCAGTTCTGACCGTATGATCCTGTAATTTGTGCCCCTGTTGCTGTCCCAGTACACCTTCCCATTGCACTCAAAGGAGATGGCAAACTCTACTCGTTCATGGGATTGAATTCCCTCGGGCAAGCTGATGTCAAAGGAAAACGTGTCCTGATCTGACCCTCCGTACGTATCCTTGACATACTGGCATGGGTGATCTACAAAGTTTTTCCAGGTGTCAAACGTCATCCTGATCTTCACAGTCTTTTCAAAAGCGAGGTTCTTCACCTTCACTGTTCCCACAACAGATCGCTCCTTTAGCGTACAGTTCTCAAGGCAGACACAGTCTGCCTGGAGGCGGTTTCTGAAGTCCAGGTAGTCCACAGAGGGCTGAACAAAATCCAGGACAAAGCTGTCCCTCTCCACTGTTGTCAGGCCCACAATGTTGTCTATCAGCTCAGTGATGTTGAAAGGAATGTCTAGTGGATCATCAAACTCCGAGAACACCTTCACCATCGTCAGAGCGAAGCCTCTGCTATCTGCAAACGACACCCTCTTCTTCACTTTGTTGTGTGCGAAGGAGTTTGCTGCCTCTTCTGGTCCATTCAGCGCAGTCTTGCTACTCAGCTGGATGCAGGGCCGCAATGGCTTGCTTGGCTTCGGAGCAATTTTGCAGGCACACTTCTCTCTCCGCAAGGGTGAAGAGCATAGGTATAGCTGCATTGCTACATCCACAGCCATTGCTTGTTTGTGAGGAAAATACTCTAATACTCTGGAAGATGAGAAGAAGGGTCAGTTGATGTTAGAAAAGCACTTTACTATGACTTTTGCCAGAGAAATGCTACACCACTTCCCCCCAGCCGTCCCAAAGAAATTTGCTTCCATCAACCCCACAAGTCCCTCAAGCTTAAAGGCAGGTACTTCCATGGTGCGATTTACAGACACAGCGAGAAATGTGCTACAGCAAAAGTGGCAGGACCAGAGCCCGTTGTGCCCTTGAACAAGATCTCTTCCAATTGCTAAAGGGACAGAGTCACCATCTGAAGACACACGCAGGCACTGCCCTACTAGGCCAGCAATAGCAGGCTCCAGAGCATTTCTGACCCAAAGCAAACCCATGGCTCAGTCCTGCTGATGTCCACAAAATCCAGAGATTATCAAATTCCAATGCTACATAAAGCAGTACTCCTGCTGCACTCTCCTCCCACCCAGGAGAGTCTCTCCACAGGGCATCGGATGCTTTTTTAGGAGCAGGAACTCTGTTTGTCACAAGATGCTGTACGCAACTGACCTCACCTTTCATAAAACCCCAAATGTCTGGTATTTTTAGAGGCTAAAATGCACTTGTTTGGTTCAGCTACATACTTTGCTCATCACTGTCTCCCACAACAGCTCCATCTGAAAGGCCTGCAAGTGGTATTGCAAGGACAGCAACAGTCTGACACAGCAGCAGGGCAGAGACTTAGTCAACATTGCTCCACCCCTACAGAGGAGCCATTTTCTTCCTCTACTGCACTCCAAAACAGATGTCAGCTCAGATGGCCCAGCAGACTTTACCTCCAGCGCAGAGTTTGCACCTCAAGCCTCCACAGCACTTGCACTGAGCTCCTGGCAGACACCCATACAGCCGCAGGGCTCTGTCAAACACAACTCACCTACTCAAGGTTGACCAAGCCTCTGGAAACAAGTCCTTCTCCCAGAAGGTACAGGCCATGTGCCCCTCTACCACAGCCTCTCCTTCTCCAGCATCCATCCCTTTCCTCCAGGGATGCAGCACCATCCCTCTCCATGCACCCGCTCTAAGGCAGCTCCCACCTGGCACCTTGCCAGCTGTAGCCCTGGAGTTGCCTCTGCAGCCAGGCAGCTCCCAGAACATTGTACCTATCACTCCTGCCCTTACACTGAGGTTAGGCTGGATGCTTTTGGCAGACCCTCTTTGGCCTGGCTCTGGATAAACTGCTGGACAGATTTATCACGCATCCCCCTTAAGTCAACTGCATTGCCTCTGACCTTAAACACAGAGCATTCCCTTAATAAAGATCCCCTGTTTGGCTGCAGGCCAGGCTCCAAAACCACTCCCACCGTGCAGAGCAGGATGAGCCAGCAGCGGTAGCAGCAGCCACGGGACGCAGCAGAGCTCCAGCTGCCAAAGCCACGCACAGCCAGCTCCAGTACTTGATTGCTGCCCTCGTGCCAAGAAAAAGCAAGAGCTACGCTCTCCAATTCAGTGCTTTAACTCCCCACCCTGCAACACCAACAGAGCAGCTCTGAGCAGGCTTTCACAGCATCCATTCAGCAAGCGCATCTGTTTATTCAGAGCAGAGCACATGTGCCAAGGCTTGCTTCCCAACACACCCACCAGCTAACTCCTGCCTCGCCTCCTTCAGCCTCCTTTCAGCTCAAGGGCAGCTGTACAAGACAGACGGCAGATCCACCTGTCTGCTAGCACCGTTCTGCTCATCTCTACCTGGTTTTGCCAAGTTTTTATTCACACACACTTTATATAGGTCATTTCCTCCTTTAAATTAATGCAGCCTCCAATGCTTGCCTCTTACTTGGGCCAGTTTCACCTGCATTGCATCTTTTCCCAGGTAAATTTATTCAGCTGAATTCCCATAACTGCTGAGAAGTCAGGTTTCTTAGTAAGCCTTGGTTATTCACAATTTTTAGAATGAAGAGGCATGAAATATCCAGCCTGATTTGCATTACTTGGAGCTTTTTTCCAAGCCAAGAACTACAATAAGAGCTTTTCATACCTACTACTAGGCTGAGGTCCACAAACTGCCTTTTTCAGTTCATTTGATACCCCAGACATCTCTTTCTGCACTTGATGCCCAACTCAGCCAACAAAGGAAGGTTTCCCTTTTGGGGCTAGTGTTGGCTGTCTTGAACATCAGATGCTTTGAAGGTGGGAGCAGGGAAATCATTTTGAGAGCCCACACAGGAAAGGGAGCTCTAGGAAGCAAGCGGTGCAGGGCAGGCAGCCCTACACAGGTACCGGGGCTGGTTCCCATCCCCCTCCTCTCAAAAAGGGAGGCAGGCTAGATTCTGCCTCCGGACATCTTCCCACAGCTTCACCCTCTCCAGAAGAGGATGTCACAGCTCGCTTTTCCCTCCTCTATTTCTAGGAAGGACAAGCAAGTCAGAGCTAAGGAATTATTTAGACTCACAGAATCATTAAGGTTGTAAAAGACCCTTAAGATCAAGTCCAATCATTAACCTACCACTGCCAAGTCCACCACTAAACCATGTCCTTAAGCACCACATCTACCCTTCTTTTAAATACCTCCAGGGATGGAGACTCAACCACTTCCCTGGGCAGCCTGGTCCAGCACCTGACTACTCTTTCAGTGAAGAAGAAATTTACACCTACGTTTATCAAAACCCTTCAATTGCCTGCATTCTGCTTCCAGCGCCGTTAGCAAACAGGTCACCCTCTCGCAGAGGGCTCGGTCTGCAGCAGCCGCTAAGCCAGAGGTCTGGAGACGTGAGCCACTGCTGGAGGGAGCAGCGCTCGGGTTTTCTCCCCCTTCCCCTCTCCGATTCAGGAGAGGCCGAGCCGCCCCGAGGGCACAGCCCAGCTCCCGCAGGCGCCTACCCCAGCTGCGGGCCATACGCTACCGCTGCTGCGGCCCAGCCCTCCTGCAAACAAACGCAGCGCTGCAAACCCGAGCCAAGACGGGACGCCCGGCCCCACCGGGGCTCCGGGACGCCCCGGCGAGCCCGGGGGCAGGCAACAGGACAGAGCGCAGCGGAGAAGCGGCTCACCCGGGGAACGAGAGGAGCCAAGCCTGGAGGATCCTGTCCCCCCGCCCCGGGAGCGGCACCGCGCCGGGGAAGCACCCGAGGGGGCTGCGACCCCGCACCGGGGAGCACGGCAGGCACCCGGGGACGCCACACGGCAGCAGGGCAGGACGCGCCCGCCAGCAAAGAGAATGGGGAGGACCCCGG